AAAAGATCTGCTGCACGTTGGAGTGACCCAGAGGCGATGTGGAGGCGTTCCTGCTGCGCCATTCGGGACGCCAAACACTGTCTCAGATCAACATCTTTATTTAGACTCGAGGAGGAATCTGATGAGCTATGAAGCGCTTTGTCACAGATATCGAGTCGTGGATGGATGATGCAGTCCGAAGGGATGCTTCTCGTTTGATGATCTTGTGGCTCGTTGCCGGAGTGAAATTTCGTTCACGGGGAAATGCGATTTCGTAAATCGAAAAGAATTGCCCGTGACTTATCAGTCACACAAACGCGAAATTCCCGTAAAGCGAACGTTCGTAAATCGAAGGATACCGCCGGTACCACCACACACGGCCCCAGCAGCATTTACCGTTTTGGCCTGCTGGAATCAAACCACTGCAACAGAATCGGAATATTTATTATTTAGGCTGCGGGAGGAATCCGATGAGCTACGAAGCTCTTTTTCGCAGGCGTCCAATAGAGGCGATCTCCGGCTTACGACGACGGTCCACATTCACGACGTTTATGCAACACCGCCGTGGATCGATTTTTACGATACGACTCCGAACGCATTTGAACATTTGAGTCGGTCTGGTTTCCGACGTGACTTGGGCGTGGAGCTCGTGTTACTCTGGAGTGTTTGTGTGAATGTTTACTTATTAAACCCTGCTAAGTGTGGCCGATAAAAGGAAAAAACGGCATCAGCAAGTGATGTTTCTTCTGTTTCCATGGGGAAACTATTCGGTTTACATAACAGAGTTTTCCAGGAATGCGTCGCATAGTCGAAAACGCCGGGAACTGGCCCGGTACTCAAACTTCTCCACTCTCTCCAGAACGGCCTCGTCACTTGCGGGGAGTTGAGAGAGGGGAGAATTCATTGACAATAAAAAAAAACATCAGGCTGGAGGGGCTGATGGTAAGGCCCCACATTTTAGTAGCATGCTCGAGGTTAAGCAGCAGAACCTTCAACTCCTCTAAGTGAACAGCAATCACCAGATCACCAGCATATATAACATGATTGACCAATAGGGAGCCATCCCTTGGGCACAGCCGGGTATCAATCAGCCTCCCATTCTATCTGTACCAGATGGAGATTCCTCCAGTTCCAGGCATGGGAAACCTCTCGAACTACGTGGTCAGAAAATGTTAGATAATGTAGGCGCCAGAGGAAATCCCTGCCGCATCCCAAGGTGAACAGGGAATGGGTCTCACTCCCGGCCACGTAGCTTTTTCAGGTCTGCAGAGTCAGGGACTCTGAAAGCGTGAAGAAGAACCATTGGTAGTAACATAGGCCTTGACCAGGTCAATAAAGCAGAGATGTAGGTCCTGTTGGAATTGCCTAAACTTCTGCTGTAGCAGACGGATAGAGAATATGGCATCCGTACAGGACCACCCTGGCCTGAAACCGCATCGGTGCTCCGCAAGAATCTGTTCAGCGTGCCTGGCAAGGCGGTGTTGAATAATCATTGCCATGGCCTCTACCGGCACGCTGAGGAGGGAGATGCCCCTGTAGTTGTTACAGTCTGTGCGGTCTCCCTTCTTAAAGAGGGAGACCATCGGGGCATCCTTCCGATCCTGCGGGACCCATCCTGTGATCCAGACACTTATGATGTCATGTAGGGTATTTTGCACAAAAACATCACCTTCACTTGGCAATGTCATCGTCTGACTCATCAGCCTTGTCTGCATCCCTCCACTGATGTTCATGTTTAGTGGGGGCTAAGCAACCACCACCACCATCATTCATCACCTCCCGTTGATGGGGAGGTGAGCCCACAGCTTCCCAAACCTCACCGCCATGCTCCCACAACCTCTTAATTCTTTTGTTCAAAGTGCCACTCTGTTGTTTGGCGGTTTCCTGCCCCGAGTGGAGGACGGTCCACCCCTCATTGACGACTGGAAACAGAACCGGCCCACCGTACCTCCTGTATTGCACAGAGGTGCAGGCAGTACCGGTCCAGCTCCCGACACAGGAGTGGCAGCCTCTCTTCCATAACGAGTCAGAGCGCTCCACGTGGCCAATTGCAGTCGTCTCCTGTTCCTGGAGGAACCCCAAGAGGGAGTTCAGTCTGGCTCTGCCTGACGCCTGTTCCCTTGGGCCTCCAGCGTGAGATTCTCTTGGTGTCTACACCGTGGTGGTTGCGAAGTGTATCACGTGGAGGGGTTACAGCCCCTAACACACACTAACCTAGCCACATACACACACCCCCACTCACACCAATACCCACAATTCACCACGAAGTGCCGGTGACGTCACCACGGCGCCTGCACGAGCCGCCTTTGTCTCCCCAGTGGCGATGTTTGCTACACACCACTGCGCCAGGCACTCATTTGAGGCCGAGTCGACCTAGTGGAGGACCAGGAGCGGTGGAGATAATCGCCACCAGCACGAGTAACACAATTCACACACAGATGGGAGGCAGCCTCATAGCCAGAAGTACCTAGGTTCGATTCCCAACGAGGGCGCCTCTCTGAAAGATTGTATATTCACTCTCTCCACCTGTTCTGCAGTGGGAGTGAATGGGTGGGTGGATTAGTGAATGAGTGACTGAGAGTGTGAGTGCAGTTTGTACGATCACTCCCTGTTCTGTGTGGGTTATCCCCAGGTTCTCCAATTAATTCCTAGAACTAAGTGAAGTGGAGCGTTCGTTAGGGTTAGCGCAGTCCGCCTTGCAGACCATTTACAGTGAGGGAAAACCGTTTTTGATTGCCTGCTGATTTTGTACGTTTGCCCACTGACAAAGAAATCATCAGTCTATCATTTAATGGTAGGTTTATTTGAACAGTGAGAGACAGAATAACAAGAAAATCCAGAAAAACGCATGTCAAAAATGTTATAAATTGATTTGCATTTTAATGAGGGAAATAAGTATTTGACCCCCTCTCAATCAGAACGATTTCTGGCTCCCACGTGTCTTTTATACAGGTAACGAGCTCCTAATCTCAGCTTGTTACCTGTATAAAAGACACCTGTCCACAGAAGCAATCAATCAATCAGATTCCAAACTCTCCACCATGGCCAAGACCAAAGAGCGCTCCAAGGATGTAAGGGACAAGATTGTAGACCTACACAAGGCTGGAATGGGCTACAAGACCATTGCCAAGCAGCTTGGTGAGAAGGTGACAACATATTCTTAGCTCTTTCGGTAAAGTCACGTTGAAGGGAAACAATAAAATAATAAAATATATATAAAACAATAAAAATTCTCACGACGTTTCGACCATAACACAAATGGTCATCATCAGGTGTCATCATCACCTGATGATGACCGTCATCAGGTGATGTTTCCCTTCAACGTGACTAAGAATATGAATGACTGCAGTCACGAAAGCTTTAAATCAAAATTTAAGGTGACAACAGTGGGCGCGATTATTCGCAGATGGAAGAAACACAAAAGAACTGTCAATCTCCCTCGGCCTGGGGCTCCATGCAAGATCTCACCTCGTGGAGTTGCAATGATCATGAGAACGGTGAGGAATCAGCCCAGAACTACACGGGAGGATCTTGTCAATGATCTCAAGGCAGCTGGGACCATAGTCACCAAGAAAACAATTGGTAACACACTATGCCGTGAAGGACTGAAATCCTGCAGCACCCGCAAGGTCCCCTTGCTCAAGAAAGCACATACACATGCCCGTCTGAAGTTTGCCAATGAACATCTGAATGATTCAGAGGACAACTGGGTGAAAGTGTTGTGGTCAGATGAGACCAAAATGGAGCTCTTTGGCATCAACTCAACTCGCCGTGTTTGGAGGAGGAATGCTGCCTATGACCCCAAGAACACCATCCCCACCGTCAAACATGGAGGTGGAAACATTATGCTTTGGGGGTGTTTTTCTGCTAAGGGGACAGGACAACTTCACCGATTCAAAGGGCCGATGGACGGGGCCATGTACCGTCAAATCTTGGGTGAGAACCTCCTTCCCTCAGCCAGGGCATTGAAAATGGGTCGTGGATGGGTATTCCAGCATGACAATGACCCAAAACACACGGCCAAGGCAACAAAGGAGTGGCTCAAGAAGAAGCACATTAAGGTCCTGGAGTGGCCTAGCCAGTCCCCAGACCTTAATCTCATAGAAAATCTGTGGAGGGAGCTGAAGGTTCGAGTTGCCAAGCGTCAGCCTCGAAACCTTAATGACTTGGAGAAGATCTGCAAAGAGGAGTGGGACAAAATCCCTCCTGAGATGAGTGCAAACCTGGTGGCCAACTACAAGAAACGTCTGACCTCTGTGATTGCCAACAAGGGTTTTGCCATCAAGTATTAAGTCATGTTTTGCAGAGGGGTCAAATACTTATTTCCCTCATTAAAATGCAAATCAAATTTATAACATTTTTGACATGCGTTTTTCTGGATTTTCTTGTTGTTATTCTGTCTCTCACTGTTCAAATAAACATACCATTAAAATTATAGACTGATGATTTCTTTGTCAGTGGGCAAACGTACAAAATCAGCATGGGATCAAATACTTGTTTCCCTCACTGTGCACCAAGCAAAGTAAAGGCTTCTGTGCAGCAATCTAGTGACCGTACTGCTACTAAACTAACAAGCACGCAGAGCAGTGTTATTGGGGAAATGTTAAAACCCTTTCCCGTTCCGATGATGTATGTGTACATCATCAGGTTTTCTTCCGATTTCATTCCGATTATGTACGTTTAAGTCATCGGAAGGGAATTGATTCCAAGTGGAATCGGAAGTGAAAAGCCATGCGGGAGGCAATGCGGCCAGGAAAATAACTGGCGTAGAGTGGTAATTATACTGGCTAAAACGAATCGTCAAGTATATCTTTCTTTACACATTCATGGTGGTAGTGGCGGCTTTCTGGCCAAAAACCTGCCACTCAAAGCACCTTCGTTGTAAGTTCAACTTCTTTCACATTGTACATTGACGAACGTGATCATCATTAACACTCAACAGCGACAACTCTATACTGTATTACAGTGGGTGGGGTGAGTGGGTGATTCAGTGGGTGAGCGAGTGGACAAGCGAGTGGATGTCCGAGTAAAGTCAAGTTTATTTTTCTTGATACATGCGCAATGGTATTGGGATCTTTCCGGCACAAATCTGTCAATCAAAGTGCCACCACCACCATCATCATCGTCATCGTCAACATAAAAAACATTGAAAAGCAGGGTGGCCAGCCAGATTCAAACCGCAAATGCCCGCAAGGGATGCGGCCCCTCCACTGGACAGGGGCACGTGGTCCGCATCATCACCGGGCCAGGCTGGGCCAACATAGGATGGCTCGGTTGTGCCAGTGGAAAACAGGGGGTACTATGTGGGGCTTAGCGTGGTGTAGTGATCGTGGTGGAGGTGGTGGTAGTGGAGATGGTGGCGGAGGTGGAAGTGGTGGTGGAGATGATAGCGGTGGAGGTGGTGGTGGTGGTGAGGATGAGGAGGTGGTGGTGGCGGAGGTCTCATTGCGAATCAGTCGGGCGGCATTATCTTTCCATCGGCTGCGTAATGCTGTGTGGAAGCTACCTGGTCTGCCACTCCGCAAGAAGCTTCGGGTCTTCTCGGCCACAGTCATTGCCTCCCTTCTCAATGCTTGTGAAATGTGAGGCCCTGTAAAGGAACATCTGCGCCTGTTTAAAACATTCAGGCTGGCCTGCCTACGATCCCTCCTGGGTTTAATCAGACTGGATCAGTGTGAGTTCACAAAGCCTTGAATGATCTAGACAAAGTCCTCTATCGGTTAGCTGCTCCAGTAGGCAAGGCTCCGTTGGCTGGGTCATATAACCTGCATGCCCAACCACCGCATACCCAAGCAGCTTCTGTTTGTCCGCATAGAGGGGGCTAAACGGGCGCCGCATTGGCTTGAGAAGAGACGGAGTGATACGGTGCAGGACGATGTGGAGCTGAGTGGACTGGCCTCTAAGGCGGAGGCTCGTTAAGGCCGCTGCTGGGGAGTTGGAGGCAGTCACCCTCCAAAAACAACGGAGAGCAGAGGAGCAATGCTCACAATAATGAGCGGAGCGCCGGGTGGATAAAATCCAGAAAGTTGACACAGTGGGTAGCACAGGTGGTGTATCTGCCAGTCATCTCAGTTAGTAAACCCATGGCACCTGGGTCTGTCCCCATAACCTCCTGCGAGCCTTTGACATTTCATGTGGCGTCAAAGTGCACCTGGCCTGGCACAAAGCACACGTGGTGAGGTCACCGCTACTTAGTGGTGAGTGGCCGTTGTTGCTGTGAGTTTGTGCATATGAGTTATGTGTCAGTGTCTTCATGTTGGTGTCACCAGAAGTCATCATCTCCGTGTGACGCCGTGTCCACACTGCAACACAAATAACCCCCGTATAGCATTAACAGACTGTTGGAGCAAGTACTGTTAGCGAGTAGCACCTATGAAGGCTGGAACAGCACACGAGGGGGTGGGTGGCCAGCACTGTACCCTTCCACTTTTGTCACGCCAGTGGCAATGTTTACTACACACCACACAGGTACTCATTTGAGTCTGAGTCGACCTTGGGGAGGCCCAGGTCCGGTTCAGATAATCGTCCCTGGTGTTGACCGTGAACAGGAATCGAACTTGGGTCGCCGGGTTCACAGCCAGCACGCTAATCACTGCGCCACCGCTCCCCATACCTAAGACACACCAACCCACCCACGCGTATACCCAATAACCCACCACTGACCCACCCACTCACCCACCACTGACCCACCCACTCACCCACCCACCAACCCACCTACTGACCCACTCACCCACCCACCCACTGACCCACCCACTGACCCACCCACCCACTCACCCACCACTGACCCACCCACTCACCCACCACTGACCCACCCACTCACCCACCCACCAACCCACCTACTGACCCACTCACTCACCCACCCACTGACCCACCCACCCACCCACTGACCAACTCACCCACCCACTGACCCACTCACCCACCCACTGACACACTCACCCACCCACCCACTGACCCACCCACCCACTGACCCACTCACCCACCCACTCACCCATCCGTGACCAAAGCGACACACCCAGTGAGTGAGCGTCTACAAGGGTACAGGAGAATCGGGGAAGCGTGTGCCGTCTGTGTCTCACCTGTCTCTGGACACAACACCCTCGCTCCCCACGGACAGAGACCCGTCTCCAAGTCCGCGAGGTGGCGGACTCTGGGACAGGACACACGGGGGACAAATGGAGACAAGGAGAAACAGGCATACGTCAAGTCACGTGGAGACAGAGAGACAGGGAGAGACACGCGGAGACAGAGGTACAGAGAGACATGGAGATACACAGAAGTACAGAGAGACACGGAGCCACACGTAGAGACACGGAGACACGCAGAGAGACACAGAGACACGCCGCGAGAGACAGAGACACAAGGAGACACTCAGAGACACACGGAGACAATGCGAGTACTTACTTGAGACTCCCCTCTCACCATCTGCAGGTATGTGTTCATCACCTCGCTCTCCGGGAGGGTCTGGGCAACCCCTAGATCCGCTCCGGCCTAAAACACAAAGCTCCATTTCATCTCCGCTCTCCCTACTGCCCAAAGACTCACAATGCCCATAGCCTTACATTGCCCATAGACTCAACACTGCCCATAGACTCACACTGCCCATAGACTCAACACTGCCCATAGACTCAACACTGCACCATAGACACAACACTGCACCATAGACTCAACACTGCACCATAGACTCAACACTGCCCATAGACTCAACACTGTCTATAGACTAAACACTGCCCATAGACTCAACACTACCCTTAGACTCAACACTGCCCTTAGACTCAACACTGCCCATACACTCAACACTGCCCATAGACTCAACACTGCCCATAGACTCAACACTGCACCATAGACTCAACACTGCATCATAGACTCACACTGCCCATAGACTCAGCACTGCACCATAGACTTAGCACTGCCCATAGAATAACACTGACCATAGACTCAGCACTGCACCATAGACTCAGCACTGCACCATAGACTCAGCACTGCCCATAGACTCAACACGGCACCATAGACTCAGCACTGCCCATAGACTCAACATTGCACCATAGACTCAACACTGCCCATAGACTCAACACTGCCCATAGACTCAACACTGCACCATAGACTCAACATTGCCCTTAGACTCAACACTGCCCATAGACTCAACACTGCACCACAGACTCAGCACTGCCCATAGACTCAACATTGCACCATAGACTCAACACTGCCCATAGACTCAACACTGCCCATAGACTCAACACTGCACCATAAACTCAACATTGCCCTTAGACTCAACACTGCACCATAGACTCAACACTGCCCATAGACTCAACACTGCACCATAGACCCAACATTGCCCTTATACTCAACACTGCACCATAGACTCAACACTGCACCATAGACCCAACATTGCCCTTAGACTCAACACTGCACCATAGACTCAACACTGCACCATAGACTCAACACTGCACGATATAATTACACTGCCCAGAGACTCACAATGCTCGAGGCATGTTTCTGTAAATCAATTTTGTAATTGTTATTGATCAGTCGACACAATCTGTCTGCGCCGATTTACGCGACAGGGTTTTTAACATTGATTCGTGCAAAATGTTCCATTGCTCACGTGATACACACTCCCACTCACCCACCCACTTACTCAAACAACCACTTGCACAGTTTAACACGTTGTAGGCTTTCGCGACCAATATCATCCATATACAGGTTTTTTGGGTGAGATGGCGTAAATATATAAATGTGTTGTTAAACCCGCCACCACCCGACACAGCCAACTAGTAAGGGTTGTCACGTAAACAGAACATGGCCAATTCGTCACTAGTACAGCACTAACCGGTTGTGTGTTGGAGAGCCAAGCCACAACATTTACAATCTGAGTACGACGTTTCGGCAGTAATTACAACTAGCTTCATCAGGCGACAGCCAGATTTGTGGAGAAGTCATCCACCTGTTTCGTTCCACCCCCTTACCCACTCCACCAAACACCCACTTACCCAACCACCCACTTACCCACCCAGCCATTAACCACCCACTCACCCACCCGCTCACTCACACATCCACTCACCGACTCACCCACCTACCGACTCACCCACCTACCCACTCACCCAACCACTCACTCACAAACCTAATCACCCACCCACTCACCCAACCAGTCACCAAACCACTCACCTACCCAGCCACCCACTCACTCACCAACTCTTCCATTCACCCACCCACCCACTCACCGACCTACCCACTCACCCACCTAACCACACACCCAAACATCCACTCACCTCTCCCACTGATCCACTCAGCCGCTCACTTACCGCTGCAAGGGGCTGTGGTCCACTACTGCTGCTACCGCCCTGCATCTCAGTGTGAGCTGAGAACCACGTTACACACACACACACGCATACAGTCTCCTTACACACACGCAGTCACGTTACACACACACAGTCACGTCACACACACACAGTATCGTTACACACACACACAGTCTCCTTACACACACACACAGTATCCTTACACACACACACAGTCTCTTTACACACACAGTATCGTTACACACACAGTAACGTTACACACACACACAGTCTCCTTACACACACAGTCACGTTACACACACACAGTCTCCTTACACACACACAGTCTCCTTACACACACACAGTCACGTTACACACACACAGTATCGTTACACACACACAGTCTCCTTACACACACACAGTCTCTTTACACACACACAGTATCGTTACACACACAGTAACGTTACACACACACACAGTCTCCTTACACACACAGTCTCGTTACACACACAGTCTCGTTACACACACACACAGTCTCCTTACACACACACAGTCTCCTTACACACACACAGTCTCCTTACACACACACAGTCACGTTACACACACACAGTATCGTTACACACACACACACACAGTCTCCTTACACACACACAGTATCGTTACACACACACAGTCTCCTTACAGACACACACACAGTCTCCTTACAGACACACAGTATCGTTAACGAGACTGTGTGTGTGTGTGTGTAAAGGCAAAGAGCCCCCATGTAGCCTCCAGCAGGCTATAGGGGCAAGTGCTCTTAGCAAGTGGCCACACTGATCAAGGCCGGCACAGCACCCGGGGTGGTGGGTGGCCAGCACCATGCCAGGCAGTCATCCCAGTCGGTCAACCCACGGCACCTGAGTCTGTCCTGTGACCTCCTGCACCTGGATTGGCACAGCAGTAAATCCATGGCACTTGGGTCTGTCCAGTGACCTCCTTGCCAGCGGGCCTTCGACAATTCACGTGATCGCCTCAAAGTGCACCTAGCCTGGCACAAGCGCTGTGGTGACGTCGCCGGGAGTCATGACCACAAACGCTCACGTCAGCACGCGTGCGCTCTCACCTGTGTGGGAAGAGCCGGCTGATTGGTCGAGAGCCGGCGGTTCGGCGCTATCCAATCGGTCGCCTATGCTCTGCAGCCTGCAATCTGTTTGGTCCCCATCGACGCGGATGCTGCGATCCGATTGGTCAACGGCAAGGCGAACAACGCTATCCGATCGGCCGGGATCACCGGAGACGGCGCGACGTGATTGGATGTGGTCGTGACGATCGCTCCGCTCTGATTGGTCGAGTGAGTCTTGGTTTCCACCACCGCCAGGGATGATAGGACAGTCGACCCGGATCTCCTCCTCCTCCACCACCACTTCCTCCACCTCCTCCATCTCCTTCATCCCTCCATCCATCTCCACGTTCTGTCTCTCACTCTCACTCTCTCGTTCGTCTCTCCCCTCCTGCCCTCGTGTGTCCAGTTCCACGTTCCCCTGGTCCGTGTCGTCTGTATCCCAATCTTGCATCTCCATCCGTCTCTGTAACCCTGGCTTCTGTCTCTCTAGCCCTGCCTCACTCTCTAGCCCTGTCTGCCTCTCTGTCTCTCTCTCTCGATTTGTCTCTCTCTCTAGTCCTGTCTGTCTCTGTGTCTCTCTCTCTCGTCTTGTCTGTCTCTGTGTCCCTGTCTCTCTCTCTAGTCCTGTCTGTCTCTCTGTCTCTGTCTCTAGTCCTGCCTGTCTCTCTGTCTCTCTCTCTCGTCTTGTCTCTCTCTCTAGTCCTGTTGTCTCTCTCTCTATCCCTGTATTGTGTCTCCCCATCACGATCTTGTCCATCTCCAGTCCTCTCTCTTTCTCCATCCCTGTTGTCCATCTCCCTAGCGCCGTCTCGTCTCTCTCTAGCCATGTCTTGCCTCTATCTACTCCCATCGTCTGTCTCCCGATCCCCGTCTCGTCTCTCTCTAGCCATGTCTTGTCTCTCTCTAGCGATGTCTTGTCTCTCTCGACTCCCATCGTATGTCTCCCGCTCCCCGTCTCATCTCTCTCGATCCCCGTCTCGTCTCTCTCTAGCCATGTCTTGTCTCTCTCGACTCCCGTCGTCTGTCTCCCGATCCCTGTCTTGTCTCTCTCTAGCCATGTCTTGTCTCTCTCTAGCCATGTCTCGTCTCTCTCTACTCCCGTCGTCTGTCTCCCGATCATCATCTCGTCTCTCTCGATGCCCGTCTCGTCTCTCTCTAGCCACAATTGTCTGCCCAACCCGGCCATCCCAGTGTCCCTCTCCTCACAACGTCTCTCCCCTCCCACCCCCTCTGCCCGAGCTCCCAGCCCCAGGTCCCAGTCCCATCCCCCTCCTCCTCTCCCTGCCCACCCGCTGGTGCTGCGCTGGTGGTTGTGGTGATGGAGATGGTGGTGGCGCTGTGATGCCAAGTTAAGTTGAACAACACCGTTGGTCCATTGGTCCGTTATACGGAGGACGCAAGACCCACGTGGTTCACTGTGAATGACCTCAAACACATGGAATTCCATCGCTTCCAAAAACTTTTCGCAATTTTATTTTTTTACCAGGTAAGGCCCACTGAGCCGGGTAGCTATTTGCAGAAGCGACCTCCTGGCCACCCGTTAATGATAGCTCAACCGAGTGGATCATCATCATCATCATCCTTATCATCACGTGGACATTTATAGCATCAGCCATAGACTTACACAGAGTCGTAGATTAACAGCGAGATCCATAGAGTCAACACACAGAGACCCATCGAGTTAACATTGCCCATAGACTCAACACTGAGACAAAACCATAGAGGAGGCTGGCGGTCTGGTCTAGGCCAATCAGTTGCAAGGACAATGCTTGCATTATTGTCAGAGCGTGTTTGTTTGCACGCTTTTACTACAAGCAAGGGTTGTGGTTAACGCAGACAACATGATGATGACGATTCCTCGTAGCGATAATAATTATCGGTGTCTATTTGGTGTTTGAACATCTCAGCACCTCCCGCAGGGCTGTTCTTGCCGGAAAGGGGTACAATAAAGCCTCTCCATTTTTGCATCAAACGTGCGTTTTAATTTACGTTCGCTGATGACGACGACGGCAGGATGAGGATATCTGTTGGGGCGAAGCTCTTGGCGGTGGCGTTTGGAGCGCAGCGTCTGTAGGCCTCCTCCAGGCTGAGGGCCTGCAGCTCCAGCTGCCTCACGCGCAGCTGGGCCTCGGCGAGGAAGTCCGGAGATGGAGAGCGTGCGAGGCGGGGAGGAGGAGGAGGTGGTGGTGGAGGAGGTGGTGGTGATCGTGAACCTCCGGCTGACAGATGAGGAGGCGGAGGAGGTGGGGGTGGAGGAGGAGTGATGTGAGGAAAGACGGAGAGGGAGGAGACACGGGGAGTAGGGGGGAAGGGGAGACACAGGGAGTAGGGGGAGATGCGGGCAGGAGTAGGGGGAGGAGACATGGGGAGTAGGGGGAGACACGGGGAGTGGTAGGGGGAGGAGACACAGGGAGTAAGGGGAGATGCGGGAAGGAGTAGGGGGAGGAGACACAGAGAGTAGGGGGAGACACGGAGAGTAGTAGGGTGAGGAGACATGGGGAGTAGGGGGAGATGCGGGGAGTAGGGTGAGGAGACATGGGGAGTAGGGGGAGACACGGGGAGTAGTAGGGTGAGGAGACATGGGGAGTAGGGGGAGAAACGGGGAGTAGGGTGAGGAGATATGGGGAGTAGGGGGAGATGCGGGGAGTAGGGGGAGGAAACACGGGGAGTAGTAGGGTGAGGAGACACGGGGAGTAGGGGGAGGAGACACGGGGAGTAGTAGGGTGAGGAAACACGGGGAGTAGGGGGAGATGCGGGGAGTAGGGGCAGACACGGGGAGTAGTAGGGTGAGGAGACATGGGGAGTAGGGGGAGACACGGGGAGTAGTAGGGTGAGGAGACATGGGGGGTAGGGGGAGACACGAGGAGTAGGGTGAGGAGACATGGGGAGTAGGGGGAGGAGACACGGGGAGTAGTAGGGTGAGGAGACACGGGGAGTAGGGGGGAAGGGGAGACACCGGTGAGTTCTCATTTGCCAGGAAGGTCCTGCCAATGTTTCTCAGTCAGGGGCGCTGTAACCCCAATAGAGCAACTTGCCGATCGTTTGAGCGGAGGAGAGGCTGCCCTTCCTTTGTCGGGAGCTGGACCGGTACCACCTGGACCTCTGTGGAAAACAGGAGGTCTGATGGACCGGTTTAATCTCCAGTCACCATGAGGGGTGGACGGTCCTCCACTCGGGGCAGGAAACTGCCCAACAACAGGGAGTGGCTCTTCTTCTGAACAAAATAATGAAGGGGGTGTGGGAGCGTGGCGGTGAGGTGTGGGAAACTGTAAGCCCCAGGCTACTGTGGGCTCGCCTCCCCATCAACGAAGATGAACATCGGTGTAGGGATGCAGGCAAGGGCGATGAGTCAGGCGCCTTCTGCAACCTGATGCCCAAGGTGCGAGCTAAAGTGGCTTCCTGGGTATTTTGTGCCATCAAAAACTATACCCCCTCAACTCCCCATAGATGATGGGGCAGTTGTGGAGAGAATGGAGAGTTTTCCATATCTGGGCAGTGTGCTCATGACCGGCTCTGGTTGACAGCAGAGGTCTCACTCCGAATCAGTCGAGCGGCATTACCTTGCCATCGTCTGCGTAATGCTGCTGTGCGGAAGCTACCTGGTCTGTCGCTCCACGCGAAGCTTAGGGTCTTCTCGGCCTTTTGTTCGACCGGATAGAGGGGGCTAAACGGGCGCGGCATGGGCTAGAGAAGAGATGGAACTGATGCGGTACAGGAAGATGTGGAACTGATTGGACTTTCCAATAACTGGTACCAGCGGTGTCAAGATTGGCCCTCCAACAACAATGGAGAGCAGAGGAGTGACGCTCACAACAATGAGCGTTGTGCCGGGCGGCTAAAATTAGCGAGTTGGCACAGCAGGGGGCACAGCTGGTGCATCTGCCAGTCATCTCAGTCAACTCATGGCGAGCCTTCAACACTTCACGTGGCCTCAAAGTGCACCTAGCCTGGCACGAGCGCCGTGGTGGTGGAAGTAGTGGTCGTGGTGGTATTAGTGGTAGTTGTGGTAGTGATAGCGGTGGTGGTGTCCGTGTAGTTGAGCGTGAGGGTGAGCATGCGGGTGAGCGTGTGGGTGAGCGTGCGGGTGAGCGTGCGGGTGAGCATGGTACCCGTGAGCGTGTGGGTGAGCGTGCGGGTGAGCGTGCGGGTGAGCGTGCGGGTGAGCGTGCGGGTGAGCGTGTGGGTGAGCGTGCGGGTGAGCGTGTGGGTGAGCATGCGGGTGAGCGTGCGGGTGAGCGTGCGGGTGAGCGTGGTACCCGTGAGCATGAGCTGTCTCTCCAGGAGCTGGTTGTGTTCCTGCTGTAGACGCAGCTCCTTCCTCAGAGTCGATATCCTCTCCATCTACTCCGGAGAGAAGAGATGGACTGGTGGGTGAGTGAGTGAGTGACACTGGCTAGAGAAGATATGGACTGGTGGGTGAGTGAGTGCGTGAGTGCGTCAGTGAGTGAGTGAGTGACACTGGCTAGAGAAGAGATGGACTGGTGGGTGAGTGAGTGAGTGCGTCAGTGGGTGAGTGAGTGACACTGGCTAGAGAAGATATGGACTGGCGGGTGAGTGAGTGGGTGAGTGCGTCAGTGGGTGAGTGAGTGACACTGGCTGGAGAAGAGATGGACTAGTGGGTGAGTGGGTGAGTGAGTGCGTGATTCAGTGGGTGAGTGACACTGGCTAGAGAAGATATGGACTGGTGGGTGAGTGAGTGAGTGCGTGATTCAGTGGGTGAGTGAGTGACACTGGCTAGAGAAGATATGGACTGATGGGTGAGTGAGTGATATGGACTGATGGGTGAGTCCTGTTGCTGTGCGAGTTTCTGAGTGAGTTCACCTGTGAGTCCGAGCCCCGTTGCCGTGCGAGTCTCTGAGTGAGTTCACCTGTGAGTCCGAGTCCCGTTGCCGTGCGAGTCTCTGAGTGAGTTCACCTGTGAGTCCGAGTCCTGTTGCTGTGCGAGTCTCTGAGTGAGTTCACCTGTGAGTCCGAGTCCCGTTGCCGTGCGAGTCTCTGAGTGAGTTCACCTGTGAGTCCGAGTCCCGTTGCCGCGCGAGTCTCTGAGTGAGTTCACCTGTGAGTCCGAGTCCCGTTGCCGTGCGAGTCTCTGAGTGAGTTCACCTGTGAGTCCGAGTCCCGTTGCCGCGCGAGTCTCTGAGTGAGTTCACCTGTGAGTCCGAGTCCCGTTGCCGTGCGAGTCTCTGTCGTGAGGTCTCCTCTCTAGCGGCGTTGAGCTCCGTCTCCAGACTCAGCACGGCTCCCCGCATAGCTACCAGCACGGCCCACGGCAACCACACGGGATGGGACGATACCTCACTCACCCACTCACCAAATTACCAACCAACTCACTCACTCACTCACCCACTCACCCACTCACTCACACAACCACTCACCCACCCACGGCAACCACACGGGACGGGACAATACCTCACTAAATTACCAACCAACTCACTCACTCACCCACTCACTCAACCATTCACTCACCCACTCACCCACTCACTCACACAACCACTCACTCACCCACTCACTCACTCACTCACCCACTCACTCACTCACTCAAACACCCACTCACCCACTGACCCACCCACGGCAACGATACAGGACAAGACGGAAAGGGACAGTACGGTACGATACCTCACCCACTCACTCACCCACTCACCCACCCACCCACTCACTCACTCACCCACCCACCCACTCACTCACTCACCCACTCACTCACCCACCCACTCACTCACTCACTCACCCACCCACCCACCCACTCACTCACTCACCCACTCACTCACTCACTCAAACACCCACTCACCCACTGACCCACCCACGGCAACGATACAGGACAAGACGGAAAGGGACAGTACGGTACGATACCTCACCCACTCACTCACCCACTCACCCACCCACTCATTCACTCACCCACCCACCCACTCACTCACCCACTCACTCACTCACTCACCCACCCACTCACTCACTCAACCATTGACTCACCCCATACCCCATGCTCACCTTCCCTCTCCTCCTCCCAGTTCCTCGTTGCCACGGCGACTGCCTCCTCCCCTCTCCTCGTTGCCGTGGCGGCCGCCTCCTCCCCTCTCCTCGTTGCCATGGCGAGTGTCTCTTCCCCTTTCCTCGTCGCCGTTGCGACCGCCTCCCTCGCCTCCGCCAGTTCAGCCTGTAAAGTCGTTGCCACGGTAACGAGACAGCCATACTTCACCACCTGGGTACCTCTGGGGCGCATGTCACGACTAGCCCAGGGGCACCCCCAGTGACAGCTGCCCCTTTGGATTAGTCTGGGGGGTGAGGGTGTGGTGAGGAGTAGGAGGTGGTGAGGAGGAGATGCTGGTAACATGGTGAGGAGGTGGTAAGGTGGTGGTGAGGAGTGGGTGGTGAGGAGGTGGTAAGGTGGTGGTGAGGAGTGGGTGGTGAGGAGGTGGTGAGGTGAGGTGGTGAGGAGTGGGTTGTGAGGAGGAGTGGGTGGGGAGGAGTGGGTGGTGAGGTGGTAAGGTGGTGGTGAGGAGTGGGTGGTGAGGAGGTGGTTGTGAGGAGGTGGTGGTGAGGAGGTGGTGGTGTGGAGGTGGTGAGGAGTGGGTGGTGGTGAGGAGTGGGTGGTGGTGAGGAGGTGGTTGTGAGGAGGTGGTGGTGAGGAGGTGGTGGTGTGGAGGTGGTGAGGAGTGGGTGGTGGTGAGGAGTGGGTGGTTGTGAGGAGGTGGTTGTGAGGAGGTGGTGGTGAGGAGGTGGTGATGTGGAGGTGGTGAGGAGTGGGTGGTGGTGAGGAGTGGGTGGTGGTGAGGAGTGGGTGGTTGTGAGGAGGTGGTTGTGAGGAGGTGATGGTGAGGAGGTGGTGGTGTGGAGGTGGTGAGGAGTGGGTGGTGGTGAGGAGTGGGTGGTTGTGAGGAGGTGGTTGTGAGGAGGTGGTGGTGAGGAGGTGGTTGTGAGGAGGTGGTGGTGTGGAAGTGGTGGTGTGGAGGTGGTGGCAAGGAGGAGGTGGTGAGGAGGTGGTGGTGAGGAGTGGGTGGTGAGGAATGCGTGGTGAGCACCTGTAGGCGAGCGATGGTGCAGCGAGCCTCCTGCAGCTCCTGGAGTTGCTTCTGGGTTTCCCGATCGGACGCTACCAAGACAAAGACAAAGGTCCCCATATAGCCTCAACAGACTGCTGGGGCAAGTGCTGTTAGCAGCGAGTAGCACCTAGCAAGACACATAGATACGTCACACACACGTCACACACACGTCACACACACACGTCACACACACACGTTACACACACACACGTCACACACACACACGTCACACACACAGACACACGTCACACACACGTCACACACACACGTCATACACACACACGTCACACAAACACACGTCACACACACACGTCACACACACACACACGTCACACACACACACGTCACACACACACACGTCACACACACACACACGTCACACACACACACACGTCACACACACACACGTCACACACACACGTCACACACACACACGTCACACACACACGTCACACACACACGTCACACACACACACGTCACACACACACACACACACGTCACACACACACGCGTCACACACACACACGTCACACACACACACGTCACACACACACGTCACACACACCCACGTCACACACACACACGTCACACACACACGTCACACACACACACACGTCACACACGTCACACACACAAGTCACACACACACACACGTCACACACACACGTCACACACACACACACATGTCACACACACATATGTCACACACACACACGTCACACACACACACGTCACACACACACACACGTCACACACACACACACACGTCACACACACACGTCACACACACAAGTCACACACACACACACGTCACACACACACACGTCACACACACACACGTCACACACACACACACGTCACACACACACGTCACACACACCCACGTCACACACACACACGTCACACACACACACGTCACACACACACGTCACACACGTCACACACACACACACGTCACACACACACACGTCACACACACACGTCACACACACACACATGTCACACACACATACGTCACACACACACGTCACACACACACACGTCACACACACACACGTCACACACACACGTCACACACACACACACGTCACACACGTCACACACACAAGTCACACACACACACACGTCACACACACACGTCACACACACACACACATGTCACACACACATACGTCACACACACACACGTCACACACACACACGTCACACACACACACACGTCACACACACACACACGTCACACACACACACACGTCACACACACAAGTCACACACACACACACGTCACACACACACACGTCACACACACACACGTCACACACACACACGTCACACACACACGTCACACACACCCACGTCACACACACACGTCACACACACACGTCACACACACACACACGTCACACACGTCACACACACAAGTCACACACACACACGTCACACACACACGTCACACACACACACATGTCACACACACATACGTCACACACACACACACGTCACACACACACACGTCACACACACACACACGTCACACACACACGTCACACACACACACACGTCACACACACAAGTCACACACACACACACGTCACACACACACACGTCACACACACACACACGTCACACACACACGTCACACACACCCACGTCACACACACACACGTCACACACACACGTCACACACACACACACGTCACACACGTCACACACACAAGTCACACACACACACGTCACACACACACGTCACACACACACACATGTCACACACACATACGTCACACACACACACACGTCACACACACGTCACACACACACACACACGTCACACACACACACACGTCACACACACACACACGTCACACACACACACACGTCACACACACACACACGTCACACACACAAGTCACACACACACACGTCACACACACACGTCACACACACACACACACACAAGTCACACACACACACGTCACACACACACGTCACACACACACACATGTCACACACACATACATCACACACACACACGTCACACACACGTCACACACACACGTCACACACACACACGTCACACACACACACGTCACACACACACGTCACACACACGTCACACACACATGTCACACACACGTCACACACACGTCACACACACACGTCACACACACACACGTCACACACACACACGTCACACACACGTCACACACACGTCACACACACACACGTCACACACACACACGTCACACACACACGCAACTCTCCACCTGCCAGCCTCTCCTCCCCCTGGACGAGTTTGAGAGTCCTCTCCTGAAATTCCTGCTGCACTCTCACCTCGTGCCTGCAAAGACAAAGATCCCCCATGTAGCCTTCACAGATTGCTGGGGCAAGTGCTGTTAGCGAGTAGCACCCAACACAGACAGATACAGACAGACAAAGACATGCATAGACAAAGACTCACACACACACATACACAGAAAGATACATATAGACAAAGACACGCAGAGACACAGACTCACACACACAGACAGATACATATAGACAAAGACATGCATAGACACAAAGACAAACATCCCCTCTGTAGCCTAAAACAGACTGCTGGGGCAAATGCTCTTAGTAGCGAGTAGCACCCAACACAGACACACGCAGACAAAGACACGTGTAGTGGGTTATCGTTCGACAGAGACGGCGAAGTGGAGGCAACACTATTTATTGTAACTCAACACTTGGCAGAGGCAATGTATACAATACTTGAAGGGGTAACGGCCCCTTCACCCGTACTATTCTGGGATACACCCCTAGGCTAAATGCCTATCCACCTACGCTCCCAGGTCCTCCGCTAAGGGCTCTAAGGGAGGCTACCTGACCTGGCCCAGACAAGGCTCAGGTCCCGACCACCAGACACACAGACCCGGCCCTTAGAAGGACATCGGCTCTGAGGCTCTGGGGTCACGCCGCTGGCTTGCTCTGCCCGGCCCTGACAAGGACAGCGGGTCAGAGGAGTTCCAGGGTCTATCTGGCCGGTCTCCAGTCTTCAAATGGTTCTTCAGACTCTGGCTCGCGAACACTGCCCCTATCTCTCTTTTATACCAATTCCCCAACGAGGGGCGGGGTTCTGAGGGATCACAGCACACGCCGCAGCCCCCACCCGTTGGGAGGGGCGCGGGGGATCCAAAGCCCACAGCCCCCTCCAGGTATACCCAGGGTGCTAGCTGTGACTGATGCGTTGTTGGACCCATAACACCACTACACATGCATAGACACAGACTCACACACACAGACACAGACAGATACATATCGACAAAGACATGCAAAGACACAAGGAAAATATCTCCCTTGTAGCCTTAACAGACTGCTGGACAAGTGATATTCGTGAGTAGCACCTAAAACAGCTGCATACAAACACACAGACAGATACACATAAAGACACGCATAAACACAGACTCACACACAGACAGACAAATACACATAAAGACACACATAAAGACACACATAAAGACACACATAAAGACACGCATAAAGACAGACTCACACACACACAGACAAATACACATAAAGACACACATAGACACAGACTAACACACACACAGACAAATACACACAAAGACACGCATAGACACAGACGAACACACACACAGACAAATACACATAAAGACACACACAGACACAGACTAACACACACACAGACAAATACACATAAAGACACACATAGACACAGACTAACACACACACAGACAAATACACATAAAGACACACACAGACACAGACTAACACACACACAGACAAATACACATAAAGACACACACAGACACAGACTAACACACACACAGACAAATACACATAAAGACACACACAGACACAGACTAACACACACACAGACAAATACACATAAAGACACACACAGACACAGACTAACACACACACAGACAAATACACATAAAGACACACACAGACACAGACTAACACACACACAGACAGACACACATAAAGACACACATAAAGACACACACAGACACAGACTAACACACACACAGACAGATACACATAAAGACACACACAGACACAGACTAACACACACACAGACAGACACACATAAAGACACACACAGACACAGACTAACACACACACAGACAGACACACATAAAGACACACATAGACACAGACTCACACACACAGATATACACAAAGACACGCAAAGACGTAAAGATCCCCCGTGTAGCCTCAACAGACTGCTGGGGCCAATGCTGTAAGCGAGCACCGCTGAAGGCCGGCACTGTGGCACCCGATGGGGTGGGTGGCCAGCACCACGCCCACCCGGCGGCCTTTGTCTCCCTCGTGGCGATGTTTACACATTGTACCAGGTACTCATTTGAGGCTGAGTCGACCTAGGGGAGACCCAGGACCGGTTTAGAATAACAGCCATTTGCCACTGATGGTGATGTCACTAGGCGATTGTGCCAGGCTATGTGTGCTTTAAGATCAGGTGAAGTGTCGAACGCCTGCTGGCAGGAGGTCACGGGATGGACCCAGGTGCCATGGGTTGACTGAGATGACTGGCAGATGCACCACCTGTGCCCCCTACTGTGCCAGACCCCACACCAAGACAACAACAACAGCCCCAGACCTCACACCAAGACAACAACAACAGCCCCAGACCACACCAAGACAACAACAACAACAGTCCCAGACTACACCAAGACAACAACAACAGTCCCAGACCCCACACCAAGACAACAACAACAGCCCCAGACCCCACACCAAGACCACTAAAACAGTCCCAGACCCCACACCAAGACGACAACAACAGCCCCAGACCCCACACCAAGACCACTAAAACAGTCCCAGACCCCACACCAAGACGACAACAACAACAACAGCCCCAGACCCCACACCAAGACGACAACAACAACAGTCCCAGATCACACCAAGACAACAACAACAACAGTCCCAGGCCACACCAAGACAACAACAGCCCCAGATCACACCAAGACAACAACAACAGCCCCAGACCCCACACCAAGACAACAACAACAGCCGCAGACCCCACACCAAGACAACAACAACAACAAAACAACAACAACAACCCCAGACCCCACACCAAGACAACAA